TGTATTTGACAAAAATATATTGATATGTAAGACCATTTTATTATTTTGAATTAAATTTCAATTTCTATTTAAATCAAATTAAATTTAATTTTCAATTAATTGATTGTATTTGTACTTACGATAAAATGAAATGAGTCGTAAATATAATTTTAAAGTTCAATAAATTGAATTTCATTTCGTATGTGTCTTAAACAAACAATGAGACTATTGACTGCCATCAACATTTCAAGCTTTAAATAGGTAATTAAATTCTAAATTGCCGCTTATATGGAATTGATATTTGAAAATATATGTAAAAAATTTTAATTTAATTATAAACTGTTAAAACATTCAGGTAGCTTTACACTCCATATCCCACTTCTGTCCCCTTTTAACTTAAAATTTGTTGTAATATTTTGAAATAGTCAGAAAATCTTTTTTCTGTCAGATTTACCACAAAATTATAATTCGAACATAATAATTGAATATATTTTTCTAATTTTAAGTTTTTAAAATATGAACTTTTTTTATTTTAAATTTTTAGAATTTCAGCAGTTTTACAATTTTGAGGGTGCGAAATATGCAATTATTATTCATATAGAAATTTCCGGTTTACAAAAAGAAAAATATTTTTTTTTTTTTGTAAATTTGCCAATAAATAATTAAAAGAAGACAGCATAATTGGATAAGAATAAATTGTATGATAAAGTCAATTTATTATCGACTGTATGTGTAGTTTATTTGCCCTGCAAAATAATTTTATGAAAAAATAATTAATTGTTTGATTTATGAAATTAGTTTTAATAGTAAATTATTATTAACTGGTAAAGCTTTACTAACAAATTTAGTTCACAATAAACTCTTCAAAAAAATTTTGTTATAAATTAAATATTTAAAAACCTTCACATAGAGTTTCCTGAAAAATAAGACAGATAGGTTTTCTTTATACAGTAAAAGCTCGTTCCATATTACTGTTAACACTATTTTAGGCTTGAATTTTTGAAAATTCTTTGCTACAACTTCATTCACATCTTGAATACAATATAAAATTTTTCGGATTCTATTTATTTTTAAATATTTATTTGCTTGTATGAAACCAAAAATATATACGTCATATATAACAATTTATTGGCATAAAAAATTTCATATGCAAAAATTTACGTAATATATTTTAAAACATTAACGGTAAAATGTAGTACACAATTTGTATTTTTGTAATGTGCATATACAAGAAAAAAATATTCAGATTTTGGATGCCAAAATATTTTCTTTAATTACTGTTCTACATTATTTCCTCCTTAAAATTATAGACTTCAAAAATAAGAAACGCACTATAATTTTTGAATATTTATCTTTAAAAATCAAGAATTTCAATCGTAGAAAAATAGATATGTAAAAATATTACAGAACAAAATTTGCTCAAATTAAAAAAAAATTCCATAATGAAAATTATAGAAAATGTTTCTATAGAGTGTTATACATAAATACATGCATTAGAATAATTAAAACATTGTGTTCTTCTTTTGTTAAAATTCAACGACCTCAATCATTATTTTTAAATGTGATATTTTATAATTCATTTATACTTTCATTATTTAAAATTATTCTTGAACTTAATTTTATAATTGAAGCACAATACTTATATGTATTAAAAACATATGATTCTATTTTCATATATACATAGAAGTTGTGTATAACAAAATTGATAAAGTCATGAATTGTTATATTGACGTAAATAATTAAACCTTGTACACTAATTTAGGAAATAAAATATTTTGCATAAGCAAATTTTTTTTATTATGCATGTATAACAGTTGAAAATTATTTTAGCAATAAAAAGAAATTTGCTAGAAACATTTTATTTAAGTACGTACAATATGTTTTGATTTTTTTGTGAAATTTTTGGTCTATTATGCTATTGATGCTCAATTCCTTCTAATCTCAATAAAAACTTTCTATTTCATTAAAAGTTGTAGGGATTAACTTATATTTTGGTAGTATTAATTAATTGTTACTGATAGTTGATTTAAGTAATAAAATATTCTAGTTGTTTATTGAGAAAGCAATAATATAGTGAAAATAATAATCACTTTGTTAAAAGTTGGTGATTTTTATGTGTTTACACTATAAAAATATCATACTCGTATTACTTAATTGTATTCAGCGAGTTTCATAGATTTATTGTGGCCATATTGCATACAACTGGTGTTGGTATTGCTTTCACTTAATTAATAAGCATAGATTTATTGCATTTATAAAAATTAAAGTACACAATATTGTGCATTATGCGGTGATCCTATTAAATTTTGCTTCTTTCTCTTTTAAATATATTTTACTGCTTACTCGGAAGAATCCTTATAAAAATTTTTTTTGTCTAAATGCAATAATCTAGTTAATTGAAAAGAAGAGAGAATATTGAATTTATTTAGATGTATATAGGGCAATTCCAGACAATTTTAAATTTAATAGAACAGTTTGTTTTTAAATCAAGGGTGGCAGAAACGCAGAGTAGTCCTTCTGTGTTAGATGTAAATGTAGGATTACGCAGTTAAAATTGTTACTCGTTGCAATTGTAGTTAATATTCAATTCTTATTTGTCATTTGGTTTTACGGACTTTGATTTTTGCGGATTTGAAGGAAATCTTTAAAAACTACTTCTTGTAAATTTTTTTCCGTAAATCTATGTATTGATGTGCCACTTGTAATTCAATTTATCTAATGTTCTGTAAAAAGTTTCACAATATTCTCTACTCGTATATATTACCAAATCATTTAATAATTTAGTATTGATTAGCTAATAAAGATTTGCGAAAATTCACTATAAATAGTGAAAATAAATTAAATATAACACATTTCTAATAATATAATACATAATATGATGTACATATATAAACTATTTCTCAATCGATTTTTATTTTTATATATTTTATATGTACTATTGTGTTAAATAATTTGCAGGAAGGTTGGCTAGACAATTTTTACATGGAAAATGGTATAATCTGATATATAAATTTATTTTTAGATTAATTTTTATGTAAGTACATGTGTTTATACCCTACGAAATTGTATAATGTTAAATAGTATTCAAATTTTTGAAGTAGATAAAATTTTAAAGAAAATAATTGTAATTAGTTTAAATTAAGGATTTGCAGAATTTAACAAAAATATATTTCTGATTTAGAGTTTTAGTTGTGATGAAAGATTAGTATTCGTTTCACTAATGTCAATCTCTAACATAATATTAAAGATACGGATTATTTATTATGACTTTCCCCCTACACATACACTGATTGTAAGATTTTAAAGCATAAAATGGGTTCCAATTTACATGGATAAAATTATACATTTGTCTCTCTTAATAACGTAAATTTAGGTATTATGATTTGCGAACGATATTTCAAGGGTACATCGCAAAATATTTGAAGATTTTCTTTTGTTTCAACAAAATTATAGATTTTTTGAATTACATCTTGTTGATTTGATTGGAACTAGGTGGTCTTTCAAAAATTATTTAATTTAACGTATTCATATATGAACTAATTTAAACTTTTTTTAACACTTACTTTGGTGCCAATTTGAAAATAATTGTTAAATATGTTAAAATTATCATTGCTATTGGTATTGGTGTACTAGTTAAAATCCACTTTTGCACTGTGAGAAAAATTTCAAAAAAAATTAATGAATATTAATTATTTAACACTTTTTATAAAAAATATTGAATTTCTCAATTATTTTGTACTATTTTTACAAAATTTTCAACAATTTTTTTTTTGTTATAATTTTTTACCCTTATTATTTGAGCAGAAATAATTTTCACACTCCATTTTATTACTCGTATTATAAATTTATTAGAAAAATATTAAAACAAATTTTCTAAAATTTTTAACTTTTATACTAAATTAAATTTAAAATTATTTAATATTATTTTAAATTCTTTTTTTTTATATTTTCACGATGGAAGTTTTGACGGTGTCCGTTCAAGGTGTTGAATTAAACTCAAATTATTTAGTTTATACAATGTCTTAGAAATTTTATAACATTTTCAAAAGTTTGCCCTTTTGATCTTTTCTTTAAATGATACGAAAAAACTCGATAAAAATTTTAATTTAAAAATCATATTCATTTATTTACGTTCGTTTAGAAGATCTTTTTGAAATTAAATTGGTTAAATTGTAAAGAGTCTACCTTTAATAAGCTTATTATTAAATTTCTTAATTTGATTTATAGAGCAAATTTTGATTTTAGACAAAAACTATAATTACCGTATAAAATGTATTAAATATTTCTTAATTTTTTACTTAGTTTGAGCAAAATTAAATAAATTTGTGATATCTGTAAAATTTGCGAGAAGCAAATAAATATTTTGGTCCCTTAAACTTGAAACTAGATAAACAAATGTGATTTTGTTTACCTTGAAGACTTTATGAAGGGAATTAACATTTTGAATTGAGAATTAATAACTATAGGAAATCCTAATATTTGAAGTTGAATTTTAGTTTCTTTTCTATAAATCCATAACTTGTAGTAAAATGCTTGAGTTATAAAGGTAGCTGAACTTTAAAATTTGATTATAAGCGACAAATATAAATTTATTACTCATATATTTTTCTAATATTTGCTTAAATTATAAACTGTATAATGCTGCATTAATGCTATCATATTTGAGCTAAAATTAATGCAAAATGAAATACATACTTACTATGAAAATAAGCCCAAAATTAAATTCAACTCAATTTTTAGGAAATAATAAATTTTTTTGTTCAAATTCAAAATTTTAAATCAAATATAAATTTGAAATAAATTTCAAATATTTAAACATTTTTAATTATATTTGTATAAAATTATTTGTTTTATAGAATTTGGAATTTCTTGTAAAGAAGTATAATTTAATATTGTAGCCTCCGATCTTGATTTGAATAAGAATTTTAAGTGTACGACATTTTGATTTTAAAAAATTTTCTAATAATTTTTGCATTTATTTTTAATATTAAATTAAATTTAATTTTATTTTTTTATTTTAGTCGAAGGAAAAAATGATGAAAGGTGTCCGAAGAGGATGTGTTCGATTAAAGGGTGCTGTTATTGGCATTGATGATCAAGAAGATAATACATTTACAATAACAGTTGATCATAAAACTTTCCATTTTCAGGTAAATATCGAAAGGCATTTAGTTATTAATCCTTGTTTTACAAGACTACTCATAATTTGTATTAAACTTTTTTAATCAATTTTATTAAATTTTTTATGAAGTGTGTATAGGTACCATTTGTGCCTGCAATAAAGTTTAAAATTTAATAACAGTTCACTTCTATTCAATAAAATTGTAAACCTGAGAAAATCATGAGTACAAAGACTCCAAGAAACAATTTTGTAAAAATTTATTTGAGTCTTAATCGAATCATTAGAAATAAAGAACTATTACAATTTTTTTTCAATAAAAAATTACTTTAAAATTTAAATTCTCCAAATTCCTTAATTGGAAACGATCTAATTACATATTTTAGTGAATTCTTAATGAAATTCTTAATTTTAAACAAAACAAAAAAAAAACACGAAATATTTGCGTGTTAATCCCTAATAAATTCAATTGTAAAAAACAAAATATTAAGATTGAGCCTGCTAAAATAAAATGTTTTTTTTTTATATTTTATTTATAAACTTAAAGAATTCATTAATTTAGCACGTAAATAATATAGAAAAAATTCATGGTAAAAAAAAATTATACAAGTAAATATAAAATAGCGTTTATTTGAATAATATACAAGTACATTTTTCAATTAAATGTCTGCTAGAGTCGAAGCTATTGAGTAATATAGGGTAAAAATAACCATTTCTTTCTATATAACATATGATATTTGGAGGTCGTTTGCTTAACTTACAACATTCTGGTTTTTTTTTTTAATATTTTGTATTTTAGGTAAAAATAATAAAAATTTCTTGTCAGAAATCAAGGTTATAAATTTTAAAACAATATAAAAAAATGTTTTATATCCTTTGAGAAAATTGCAATAGAAATAAAATTTTTTTAAATAAATTTTATAGTTTCTTCAAAATTTCTGACAGTTTCAACAAAATACCATTCGCAAAAACATTAAATGCGGCATATATGTATATGTGGTGAAAATTTCGTTGTCGACGTAAGACACATGTGCCAAGTGCAATAATGCATTCAAAAGAAATTATATGAAGACTAACCTTAAACCAAAATCTATGAATAAATGTCGAATATATTATTTGATAATAAAATCTTGTGGACATCATTTCTGTAGAAGTTGAAGTATCATCAAAATATAGACACGAAATATTTGGAATAACATGAAGTTTTCTGAGAATACAGCGCCAGAAGAGACTGAAATCACGTTTTTTTTAAGAAATTATTAAGTTTTGAACAAACTTAGGACTAACTGATCATTACTATACAATTTAATAATATTATCTTTTAGGTGTTAGGAAATATTTGATAAATAAAATTTTTACTGCTGCAATATATAAAATGATGTAAAGAGTACTTATATAGACTTTATGAAGCTTGCAAAGGTTAAAAATCATTACTTTGTTTATTAATTTTAAAAACATAATTTTTTGCGTTGTATCTACTTCTTTGACAATCTCGTAAATTTATTTTATTAAATGCGTTTTAATTTTACGTCACCTAATTACTTATCTTAATTGCTATATTCGAACACTAAAATTTGATACCTACATAACAACTGCTCTTATTAAACTTAAAAAATAAAATGATAGTTATAAAAAGGCTGAGGTTAAAGCGCTTTTCTTTTAAATTAAAGATATTTTCGTTATTAAAAAATATGGACCATAATTTGAACATTTATTTTAAATACGGTTAAAAAACTATTATGAATTTTTTCTATTATTTTTATTTTTAAAATTTGTTTAAAGATGACTATAAACTTTCCCTTTTGATACATATATGTGATACTCGTAATTTATGAAAGTTGTTGGAAAACGCAATTTAAAGGTTAATTTCATAAAATTTTAACTAGATTTAACAAAATTTAGCAAAATTATAACGCCCTATTTAGATTTTTCTTATTTATTTAAATATAGAAAACCAAAAATAATTATTTTTCTTAAAAGTCGTTCATTTGTGTCTTAAAAATTTGCTAGTTCAGACAGAAAATTCGTTTGTACTTAATTCTAGTATTCATTTTTTATAAATTTTAGATTATCTACTTATAGTTCGTGAGAAATGTACTAAACGAATATTGTTTAACATTGCTATAATATTATTTTTTCTTGATATCTAAAAATCTTATAGAGAATTTTCTCTGGGGTTTTCTAAATTATTTCATTATTACTTATTACATTTATTTTATTATTTCTTTTTCAATATCATAAATTATTGCATGTTCATGAATAAATGAGTTTTTCATATATTATTTACTTTATATACTTGTCGCTCTTACAACTTCTCTTCTCATACGATCCATTTTCTTATACCCCCGTGAAATGGAATATGTATTAGATAAATTTATTTTGCATTTCTCTGTCTTCTTATTTTGCATGTCATTTCTTAATATAAAAAAATAAGTGCAAAAAAAATTGCAAATAGAAATTTTTCATTTTCTTTTTTTATTACAAAATATTTTTATTTTTATGAAATCATTCAAAAATCGAAGTTTAATCAATAAAAATACAAAAGTAAAAACAAAAAAATTAATATATATTTTTTTTATTTTTAGGCTCGTGATGGTGATGAACGTGAAAAGTGGGTACGAAAATTAGAAGATACAATTAGACGTCATGCTTATCGTGGAAGATTATGGGATTATCAAAGTAGTTATTATGGAAGTGATACTGGTTTAACAAATCCATCAGCAACAAATCAACAAAAAAAAGCTAATTTATTACAATTATTAGATAAAAGAGTTAGTGAAGCTGATGCATATCTTCAATTAATAATTGAACAGACCAGCGTAAGTCAATATCAAACAACATTGCAATTTTTACGCATTACGTGGATTGCTGCAAAAGTTCCGAGTATAGACTTCACAGATGTAAAGTATGAAATTCTTTTTTACCTTATGCTGTTGAATGCAACATTGAACGCACGGATTTGATAGTAACATAAACAATAATGAATGGATATGGAATTAAAAGGAAATATTTTAGTGCAGCGATTTTTAATACTTTTAAAAATAAATTCACTCAACAACAATAATAAATAAGTTTTGAAATAGAAATAGCTAATTTTTAAAGTAGAAATATGCAGAATAGCTGTATATTTAAGTGAATGGGAGTAAAAGAAAGAAGAACTTAATCCTGTACGTCGAGCGTTTAAGATAGACTGCCATATTATGTCTTACCGTTAAAAATGTTTACGTTTTGTCATCAAAGGAATGTAAACTGTTATAAAAGTTGATGTTTTGAAATAAAAAAAATATGAAACCATTTTCCACAATAATTTGGATGTCATAAATTTATGTGCCTGATAGATTGTCACAAAACTCGACTGGGAATGAACATGTTAGATGGGAAATTGTAATAGATGTGCGAAACAAAACTTTTGCAGCAATTCTCGTATTTATTTTATAATTTAAGATCGTATCGCACACAGTATCTCAATTAATTTTAAACACAATTTCGTTAAGTACTATAAATTTAATTTAGTTAAACTTAATTTCAAAAAGAACTTAATTTGAATCAACTGAATATGTGAGCGAAACTTAAATGAACAAAATACGAGCTTACATAGATGAACAAAATAAGATATTTCAAGCTTTTATTATTTTAATTTTGTATTAAAAATTATGAGAAAATTTAAAAAAATTTTACAAAGGAAAATGTAGTTTGTCTAACTTGGCTCAACCTAATAAGTATAGCTTTTGTAATTTATAAATTTATCGTTAAAATAATTTATAACTTCAATATTTTTAAACAAAACTCTTATTTTCTTTTAATTTTAGAAAATTGATGAAAGAATTGAAAATATAACAGATCCTGAAGAAAAAGCGAAATGCAAATCATTACAGGAGAGTGCTAGTGTAAGTATAAATTGTTTATGAAAATGGTATCACAATTCGAACTTCGAGGAACTAATTTATAAATCCACATAAAACTTTGCTTGTATGGTATCAAAGCTAACAAGAAGATGTTAAATCTTATACAAATTACTTTTAAAGAATTTTGAAGAAATATACTTCTTTATGGGCATGGTAAAACTCTAATATAAAAGCTGATAGTTGTGAAAAATAAAATCAATATTTTCAAAATTCAGGGGAATTATATTAAATCCCACATTGAATCTTAAAGATTTTGTTTCGGAATTAACATGCCGTTTTTATAAAATGCTAATGCATTTGTAGTTTACTGATTTAAAATCAGTTTTATTAATGCATTTAATATTACCAAATTTTTAATAATAATAAGGTAAATGATTAATGTTAATTTATTTTTAAATTTATTTTTAGGCCATGGTAGATCATATAAAACATTCAATAGTTACATTACAAATAGCTAAAAATATGGCACATCCTATTAATGGTATTTATCAGGGACCATCAACGGTCAGTCCTGATAGTAAAACAGAATCAAGTAGTAATAATCATGGTGATAGTGTTGTAGATGACGATATAGGTGAGTTAAGTTATTTTAAGTAAAACAAAAAGTTGCTTTTATGAATTGCTTAAATAATTCTGGTTATTGGCTACATTTTGAATGTCAAAAAATGTACAATCAGTTTTGTGCTAAGTACACTTAGTATAGTGACTTCAAATTGAATCAAAGGCTTTAGTTTATAATCTTATTTTTATAATTTTTGGAGTGGTAAACTTTAAAAAAAAACTCTCATTAATAATTTTCTATGATAACAAGTCTAAAACTAAAAAATAAAACAAAAAACAATGAAGAATATTAAAAATGAAAGAAATATTCTTTCTTAGACTTATTTTTAGATATTTTACCGCCACCTGGTATACCACCAGTACAATCTGGTATAGAACTTGGTTCAGAATGTCTAGAACGAAGAAAAGGATTAACACCTATTATAGCTAGTGAGTTTCTGCAATGTTAACTTTTTTTTTCACTTTTTGTTGTCAATTTTTTCTTTTTGTTAAATGTGATAAAAAATAAGCATTTATTTGTCACTTTTAAGTATTTATTATAAAAAAAAACTAATTTTCAAAAAAGCTTGCGTAATAGAATAAGAAAAATAGTTAACTTGGTTATACTTAATTGTACTACGATTTTTTAAAATTAGATTGTTATTGTTTAATTATTCAAAGTTGTCATTTTTTGAAATATTTTTTAATTTTATACTTTAAATTTTAATAAATTCTTTATTTCAATCAATTATTTAAGGCGGCATTATTTTAAAATACCAAATATTAAATTTATTCATCTTTACAATCCTTTTTCTTTTGCTTGGTGGCATATAACGTATGGTGGGATTTTTATTGAAAATTATTTTTATGCACAATTTAAATTTTTGGTTATCCATTTATTAAAATTTATTTATCACATCCTACTTTAGATATTCAATTAAATTTTTTAGGAAAATTACAGATTCTCATCAGATGTAATCTTGCATTTAATATTTAAAGTTCGATTTTTTAAAATTATTATAAAAAAAGAAATTATTACGAGAAAACAATTTAAATAAAAAATAAAAAAAGTTAAAAATTCATTAAGGGCTATTTTAAAAACTTTTTTTCTATTCATGTAACATATGAACATTATTTGTACACATGGTATTTTTTATTGGTTTTGTGGAACTCATTTTTAAGGTAGAAGCAATTCGAAATGGGATCAGAGTATAATTTAAACAAGAAAATTTTTAAACCCTAAAAGTTACAATTTTTAAGAAGTGACGTACCTTTTTCAATGTTACTTTTGAAATTGCATTTCATTTTAAATTTAAAAAACAAAAATTATGTTGTAATTTATATTTTTCATATGCATTTAATTTTAAGTTATCATTATGTTAAGTGATTTCGTATAATCACAAATGTTTAAAAAAGTAAAAATTAAAATTGTAAGGCATAGATGCCGCGAAGTTCTTTGTTACTGTTTTGGAGTGAAGATTAATTCGAGTAATAAATTTTCTAACTTTAATTTAGTTAGGGCTTCTAATTATTTACACTCTTAAATTAAATTTTAATATAAACTGTACTATAAATTATTGAAAGAATTTTCAAAATCTAGATTTTATATGTTTATAATTGTATTGTAATTGCATTAACTTCTGACAAAAGAATTTTCTACTTAACATTCTTTTACTTTTTAGAAATAAGGTCTATATATTTTATTTTTAAGGGAAATATTAATAATTTCTACTTTCTTATCTTAATAAATTTCATTTATTTAATTTATAATGTCTAATATATTGTACTAATTGTTCTTGTATTTTTTTCGGGACTTTCTATAGCTTACATAAAATTATTTGACCATATTATTGTTTTTGTTATATGTTTAGTATGATTTAGTTAGTGTTTTTTTACTTTTCTATTGTATTCCTTAATTATTTTTCAATAGTATGTTAAATGTTCATTGTTTATTTTTATATTTTAAAAAATTATTTATATTATATTTGTTTTTAATTATTATTTAGCTGCTCCAGCAATATCATTAGTTGTACCAGAAACTTCTTATTCTAGTTCAGAAGGTGAAGATGATTTTTATGATGCAAATGATGATATGTTTAATTATCAGACGAATACGCCAATAATAAGGTAAGTTTAAAATTTAAAAATTTTTTTAAGTCGTTTTTTTTTCCTGCCTTTCTATATCTATCTCGATTTCTCGACTTATTCTTTTATTATCTCTAAAAGAGTAATTTACTTTAAATTATTTTTCTATCAAATATCTACTAAAATTTTAATATAATTTCGTTAATGATTTGATTAAAAATTTCGACCTGAAATTATTAGAATACTGTGTTATTAATATAGGAGGAATGTTGACACGATATGAAAAGCCTGAATGTTTTTTAGAAATAAAAAGGAGATTTTTTAATGCATTCATTTAATTAATATGATCCCGAATGAACATTTTCCATCTAATGAATTTCCAATGCTTCATATACATGTTATAATATTTATGTATCTATTGTCTACTTTCCAATACCTACATAATAGTTGTTTGTTTATACATGTAAATAGCTAGCCGCATTATTCTCGTTTAAGATATTTTTGAAATTGTATTATTTAAATGGTAATTATTTACTTTTTAAGTACAAATTTTTTCGATCTTCTTTTTAAACAAAATTTTTTAGTGCTCGAATTGTAGGGTTGTAGATAAATTTGCTTATATGTACATACATGTGCGTTTAACATATGAAATAATGTTTCATCCTACACACATTTCCTTATAAAAAACAAAATAATAAAAATTTCAAAAAAAACTAAAATAAAAAGAAAATCTCTACTTGATATTCAATCAGCTGTTTTTATTTTATTTTTCGTCCTTTTTTATTTATTTTATTAAAATATCCTTTTTTGTTTTGTTTTCATAATTGCTAAATCAAAGATTCATTTTATCAGCATTTGTTTTCTTTTTATCTTAATAATTGATTGGAAATAAACAAAAAATTTTTTAATCAAATTAATATTTTAAGCTTTAAAAACTTTTTTATCGTATTTATATATCGTAAATATGGTAAAAATATGATAAACATTGTATACATATGACAAAATAAAGTGTAATTAAGTAAAGGATGGTAGATTATATTATTGTCGATGCATAATATAAGTGTAGCTTGTAGTACAAGTTTCAAAAGCTGTTAATTTATAAAAACTATTGTTATTCGGAAATTAATTGGGAATTTGAATTTTAATTGTTTTAGTTTTATTTTTAAAATTGACGCTCAAATTATTTGTAGTTGTTATTTTAAATTTTTTAAAAAATTTATTAATTACTTTTTATCTTAACTGACTTCTTTGGCTGGTCTAATTTAACCATTTTGTTTACTTGTTCTGTAATTTTTATTTATATTCTCATCCTTAAAATATGCAATAACAGGAATAGTAATTAAGAGATATTCAGAGAATAGTGTATGTTTGTCAATAATTTTAAATTTTTTTTTAGATAATATGCTTCTTTACAAATTTGGGTTGATTCGAACTTATCAATAATTAAGTTACAGTTTTATTTAAAAAATAAATTACTGTCAAAATCCAAAACTAATTTTTTCATTGTGAAGCAATGTTTTGAAATTTAAATAACTTTAAATATGTTTAAAGTGTAGGACAAAATATCACTTTTTCACTGCTTTGAAGACCTATACCTGCTTATCAAAGGCGACTACTTATTTTGTGGGATCCTTTGTTAAACAAAAACTTTATCGATAAAAATTTTTAATTCAATATTCTGAATCTTTACTGTAACTACAATTTGTTTTAACATTATGACGTTGAAAAAGCTTTTCTAAAACTTTTTCTCACTTTATATTTTTCTCCAATTGGGGACATTTTTTATTTATCAGTTCATTTAGCTAGAATAAAATGAACAAAAGGATATTATTGAGTTGTAAATTTTCTCCAAGTTTATATACATTGTTCTTATGTATGTTATTATATGTGATACGTCTGTATGTTGATAAATGTGTGGGCATATATAATGGTTGTATGTATTCTTTCATAATATGGCTATTAAAACGTTCAGTTTTTTTTTTTTATTATAATTGGTTTCATAGTTTTAATTTTTTATTTTGTTTTTAAATGAAAATTTGTTCTTTTTTATTGTTACATATATTAACTTAGGTTAGTGGTACACAATTTTATATTGAAATACGCTAGGACCTCACGAAAAAAAGCAAATTCTATTTCAATTTCATATTAAATTTTCTTTTGTTTTTGTTTTCATTTTGGCTGTTTATATTATTGTACATGCTGGAAACTTTTTATACCATAAGGGAAAAGTCACGCCATCATGTCTACAGAAAAATTATTTTCTGTTTTTATTTTTATTTATTTTTTTTTAATTTTTTTTTTTTTTGGTGTAAATAAAAAGTACAATGCTATACATAAATTTGTATACAAACAAAAACAAAATATTCTATTCATATACAATACGAGTAGCATAATAAATATCTTTTATGTAATTTTACAAAGTAACATTAGGAATGTATGCAGAAATGTAATTTGAATGAAAATATTTCGTGAATTTTTTATCTAATGAAAGGCAATAAATATTAGGATTTTTGGTTATTTATTCGTGTAAAAAATTTTAAATGCTGAGCTCATTGTTATTTGCAATATAATCAAAATATTGGACTAGTTTTTGTTCTTTATGTAGTGATATTTTGAAGAGTATAACCTATGTATTTAAAGTTGTTAAGTGTTCTATAAAAAATATATTCTGCGTGATATGAGAAGAATTTTTGAGTTTGGAATTTTAAACTAAATTACATTTATATTTTATTCTTTATTGAAATTTATATTTTATTTTACTTACATAATATGAAGATTTTACAATACAATTGGTATTACAAAGAAATTACAAAGAAGTTGGTTAAATTTTAAAAACTTAATTATAGACAGAAATCACTTGTATGAATTGGTTTATTTTCACAATTATAATATTTATAATTTTTTACGATAAGTATAACTTAGAGATTTGGTTCTAAGAATAAGTCTGCTGTTAATTGCAATTTATTTTCGATTATTTTCATATTTGTTCGATTATTTTAAATTTATTTTTGCCCATCTCAAAATCTTTCGATCTCGAATGAATTACTTTCACTTAAAGACACAATTTATAAACATTGTAAAAATAAACTTGAAAATTAATATATTGGGAATAGAGTTTCATATATTATATAATATTAAATACAATATTATGCAGGTTTATAAATTTTCCATTAGACAATTATATTTTTGATTATACTTAAGTATATATACTTAATAATGAATGTACAAATAATGTTATTTATATATTATAATTGCCTCTAATTTTAAGTGTAAGTTAAAATTTATTCCAGCAATAAAATTTGTTTTCAATACATATTAAGGGATATTTACGATCACATTCATATATACATATATATAATGTGAAAGTATAATGTTTGCATATGTATATGTATTTAAAATGTTTTAATTGTCTCTGAGGAAATTTGTAAAAAAAAAGAAAGAAACAAAACAAAAAAAAAATTTGTCGATAAAAATAAAGCATGCAAGTATCAATAATTACAAATCTCTTATCTGTTTATATAGAGTTACCATTTTTGGAAAAATGTAAAGTATATTGTATAGGAATAGAGTTGTTGTTTATTTTACAGGGAATACAATATATTATATTAAAAAGTGTTCTTATATAAATATCGAAAAAATCAATGTTTTTATTAAAGATGTTTAATAATTCCATCAATACTTGTACTCCCAACAGTACTAGTTTAGTTGAAAGAGCAGTTGAACATATTTATCCCAAGTAGTTTTGTAGATTTTTAAGGGAACCGATTGAGGCGAGAGAATCTATCCGTGCCACCGCAACAATTCTCGAATTATTGTAGCTTTCACACGCTTCCATCTACAATATCCCCGTTCTAAAAATAAGGCTGGAAGTATCACCAAGAGAGTTGGACAGGAGTTCAAAAACGCTTAGGAAATCCTGTCCAAAACAATTGCGAAGCCGGACAGCCAGTACTGGGCAGTCGCAAAGTAAGCTCTCGGCGGTTTCGTTACAAATATTTTTTTTGTCCCAAATAAATATTTTTAAAAATATTCAAAATTTAGTCACTAATCAGTCACTTTTTTTTAGGAAATTTAGTCGATATTTTGAAATTTTTATTTAATTAAATTTGTTATATCCACTAAAAAAAATTGAGAAAAATTATATTGAATGAAATGGTGGAAAAATTTCACGTAAAAATGTCAACTAAAAGAATAATATTATAAATACTAAATCCTTGACTATGTTAAGTTTATAAATTATAATTTGATTTTGTTCTCATGTACAACAGAATTAAATTTTTATTTTATCAATTACTCAATACAAATTATCTTTTCTTCCTGGATGATTATAATTAATTAAAGAATAATTGTAAATAAATAAGTTTAAAAAAAAAATAAATTGTGGATCTAAATATCATTTCTGTTTATAGCTGCACATGCTAATAAAATTAAATTGTTAATTCTCAAAAATTTTAAAATTATGGCAACACCAATCTTGTATTATATTACGTATGACTTCATTGTAAATTATGAATTATTTCATAATACACGCATGAACATAATTATTATATAAGATATAATGTCATAACATACTAACATGAGTACTATAATACACGCGAAAATTTATACAAATGCGTTTACATATTTATATTCAACATTTGTACAATGCTGTTTTTCTTCTCGTGTGTAAAAAGCAAATATTAAACGTTTACAATATAAAAATTTGCCCATAAAACTCATAATTATAAAAAAAAAACAAAACAGAATAAAAAAAAAAAGAAAATAAAATAAAATGGAAAATTTCAAAAAATTTCCTTTTTTATCCTTCCATGGGGAATAATATCAATAAAAAGAAAAAATTAAAAATCATAAAAAAAAGCTTATATTTGTTCTGTTTTTCTATAATTGTGTTAAAGCTTTTTCGCAAAAAATTAAAAAGCTTTTCTAAATGAAATATTTGCTTTTGTTTTTGTATTGGTTTGATGGTAGCTCTATACAAATTTATTAAAAAAGTTTTTTACATGATTTCAGTTCATAAATAATTTCCTAAGGATGCAAAAACC